GCCAGCTGCGAGGTGGGACGTTTTTGGCCTCCAGATAGGACACTGACTCCTGCTATGTGCAGATTGATTATTACTGCCGTCTGGATTATTTGTGGAAGAAGAAGTTCAAGCGGGAACATGAAGAATTTGAAACCATGGAGAGTGTGAATCGTCTTCTTCTGGAGAATGTCCTGCCAGCCCATGTGGCAGCCCACTTCATTGGCGACAAGTTAAATGAGGTGTGGTGGGACAAGGTCCCGGGGTGGGGAAAAGGAACAAGCGTACAGCACTGCTGAGTCAATAGTAATCCACAGAAGGTACTTTCTAAGGAGGAGTTCCTTGGCCTTGGCTAATTTGGGGGGCAGCACTGTAAGAATAAACGGTTGGGTGTCAAAGATCTGGGCCAAGTGTGATGCTAGATACTTCAGCTCCCGGAGTCTTGACTTTCTTATTTGTAAATGGGGTGGACAGGGCTTACAAGATTGTCATGAGGATCAAATGTAGCCAGGTGCTGGTAGACATTCTGTATGGATGGCATTCACCAGGTGTTTGTAAAAAAGGGTAGAGGTTATACAGATATGTCTGGTGACTTGCTGTTTTCTACCCCAGCTACACACAGAGTCATTGGGGTGGGGGGCAGGAGGTATAAAAGAAACAATCACAAAAATTTGATTCTGGCCCTTTCCTAACCCACTGGTTCAGAATCTCACTAGTCATTGCCATGGTGCTAGCTAGTAATCTCTACTGAGGGTTTAGGTGAACATCTCCTAAAGCCAGCTCAGCGTGTTCTTCCCCTCCCTGAATCCAGGACTGGTACCACCAGTCGTACGACTGCGTGTGTGTCATGTTTGCATCTGTGCCGGACTTCAAAGTGTTCTACACAGAGTGTGACATCAACAACGAAGGGCTGGAGTGCCTGCGCCTGCTGAACGAGATCATCTCAGACTTTGACGAGGTACAGAGACGGCAACTTGACCCAGCCCTGCACCCGGAACTGTCCATACTATAAAAGCGGCACGCTCCCTTGGGAAGCACATACCTTACACTAGTGATAAAACAGTACACATTTGCCCTTTCTACTCTGCTAATACTTTCTCTGTGCCAGGCCCCTGGAAGACTGGATTTGGGCTCAAGACATTCATAGAATAGCTGAAGTTCCAACTCAGCTCATTTCAGAGGAAGTCAGTTTGTGCTTGACTCTCTGCTAGACAACTAAGCCCACATGCCTTTGTGGATTATGCTTGACCTGCACTTGATATTTAAAGAACAGCTGAAGATGGAAGGAATGACGCAGAGAAATAAAATGCTGAGGAAGACAGGGAGGAGCAGAGGGGTAGCCCAGAGGCCTTGTTCCCACTTGCTTCTGAGCACTGACTGACAGGGCCAATTATGAGTCTGCGTGAAAAGTAGTGGTGAACGGGACACTTGGAAACGGGAGGTTTGAATTGCTGCAGCCAAATCTGGGACAGGCCTGGCCTGCAGTTGTGAAGTCTAGGGCCCCACCCTATCCTACTTCCCTCTGTGCCCCACAGCTGCTGTTAAAGCCCAAGTTCAGTGGTGTGGAGAAAATCAAGACCATCGGCAGCACATACATGGCAGCTGCAGGGCTCAGCGTCACCTCTGGGCATGAGAACCAGGTACCTGGCTGGTCTGGTGGCAGAGTCCCCAGACTTGTCCCCTCCTTTCAGGGAGCATCCAAGCCCATCTTGTGAAAGGGACAAAGGAGAGTGGTGGTGGAGGTGACAGTTAAACCTCGGAGTGCTCCCGTCTGGGGTCACAGGCACTTTCCTGGGGCCCATGCGAGGGCGACGGCCATGGCCCTAGTTGGCTTTCCTATGAATGCAGTACAACGGTGTGCCAGCTGAAGGTATTCTAGGCTGCAGGCTGGCACGAACCAAGCCCTGAGTGTACTGCCTCTGTCTCATAGGACCTGGAGCGGCAGCATGCCCACATTGGCATTATGGTGGAATTCAGCATCGCCCTGATGAGTAAGCTGGATGGCATCAACAGGCACTCATTCAATTCCTTCCGTCTCCGAGTTGGTGAGGGCCCTAGCAGGCAGCTGGGATTGGGTGGAGTCAGGGTAGAGGTGTTATGCAGTGCCAGACCCCTGCTTCCATGCAAGGCCAAACTGAGGACTGTACAGAAGCTGTCCTTTGCAACGTATTTTGGATATATATATATATATATATATATAGTTTTAAAATCATTTTATTGGGGGCTCATACCACTTTTATCACAATCCAGGCATCCATCGTGTCAAGCAGATTTATACATTCGTTGCCCTCATCATTCTCAAAACATTTGCTCTCCACTTAAGCCCTTGGTATCAGCTCATTTTCCCCCCTTCCTCCCAGCTCTACCCTCCCTCATGAGCCCTTGATAATTTATAAATTATTATTTTATCATGTCTTACACTGTCTGTCTCTTTCCCTTCACCCACCCAGGGAAGAGGTTATATGTAGATCTTTGTAATTGGTTCCCCCTTTCTATCCCACCTTTCCTCCAACCTCCGGTATCACCACTCTCACCACTGGTCCTGAAGGGGTCATCTGTCCTGGATTCTCTGTGTTTCTAGTTCCTATCTATACCAGTGTGCATCCTCTGGTCTAGCCAGATTTAAGGTAGAACTGGGATCATGACAGTGGGGTAGGAAGCATTTAAGAATTAGAGGAAAGTTGGATGTTTCATTGTTGCTACACTGCACCCTGACTGGCTCCCTGAGACCTTTCTGTAAGGGGATGTCCCGTTACCTACAGATGGGCTTTGGGTTCCCAATCTGCACTCCCCCTCATTCACAATGATACGATTTTTTGTTCTTTGATGCCCGATCCCTGATCCCTTCGACACCTTATGGTCACACAGGCTGGTGTGCTTCTTCCATGTGAGCTTTGTTGCTTCTCAGCTAGATGGCCGCTTGTTTACCTTCAAGCCTTTAAGACCCCAGATGCTATACCTTTTGATAGCCAGGCACCATCAGCTTTCTTCACCACATTTGCTTATGCACACATGTTTTCAGCGTATTATGGATATTTTTAGAAACCCCCTCGATTAAATTTTACAATCCAAGTAGTTATATAATATGATTTTCTTACATACCACTAAGAAAGCTACTTTTAACATGTTTAAAAATATTACTGAAAATGGAGAAACAAAATCACTTGCTGTAAACAGGTGAAATTCAAACACACTGAAAGGGAGATTTACAGATACTAGGAGAGTGCTAACATCAAACTCAGGTTTCTCCTTGAGTGTTTGGAAAGTCTGAGAAGAAACTGCCCAGAGAATGCCTTTCTCACCTCCCAGGTAAAACCTTAGGCGTATGCTTTGAGAAGCACTGCTACAATTTACCCTTCATTCCATTTCTGGTAGTCAACACTTTCTGTGATTAGATGCCTGTGTAAGGACTGAGGCCCAAGGTTCTTTCTCTGTGATTTGCTAACTGCTTCTTCAATTACAGGCATAAACCATGGGCCTGTAATTGCTGGAGTGATTGGGGCCAGGAAACCTCAGTATGACATATGGGGAAACACAGTCAACGTTGCCAGCCGAATGGAGAGTACTGGGGAACTTGGGAAAGTCCAGGTAACCAAGGGGGAATGAGAAACTTCCTACAAGTTAGGGAACCTAGGCTTAAGACCTGGCTCTTGCCACCAGTTAGCTCTGTTCTTAGAGTGGCACAATGTGCTACTCGCCAATTTCTATCACCGCATCACACAGACTTCCTTGTAACCTCTTTCCTTTTTCCTTTTTAGGTTACTGAAGAGACATGCACCATCCTGCAAAGACTGGGTTATTCCTGTGAGTGCCGTGGACTGATTAATGTCAAAGGCAAGGGCGAACTAAGGACTTACTTTGTCTCACAGACACTGCCAAGTTCCAGGGCCTAGGACTGACCTGAGAGCTTTCGGTGGGTTCAGCAAATGCTGGGAAGCCATTTCCTTTCCCGGAGCAAGCCAAGAACACCACACAGGCACTGAAGGTGATTTGGCCATCACCAATCCTGAAAGGCTGTACCTGACTTCCTTGTATTACACTGGATAATCTCTGATATGCACATCAGATCTGACTCCAACTGCCTGCAGCCGTCCTGCCATGCTGTTGGGGCCTATACTGCACTCTCCCAAACAGGAAGAGGCTCACTCTTCCTACAGTTGTACTATTTTACTTCCTTGTTCCCTTAGGTATTGGGGGGGGCAGTGAAGGGGGATGGGCTTAGAGCACACCCCCTTAGTGGCTTGTGAGGGAGGACGAGTTAAGAACTGGTTTTCTAGTTATCAAAGAGCATTAAGCCAAGTTGTCTGCAGTGAGCTGGGGACTTCCTTCTTTCCAGCTGGACATGATGTTGGTTCTATAATCATTTACATAAGCATTCGGATAAGTGGTGAAAGTGTTTATAATCTATAAATGGCTTCCAGTGATAGGGATGGAAAACCACAAGTAACACTTGTTCCCTTCCTTCTTGACATCTCTGGCATGTTTATTTTAACTGTCCAGTATTAGTTTCTAAAGTGCTAGCTGTGGGGACAGACCTTACAACAGGAAGGTAAAGGATGTGAATCCGGGAACTTTTGACACAAACCTTTGGGCTAGGTTCAAAGAGCTGAAAATCTAGAAAAGGCAGCCATATATCTTTCCCTGGCCATTCCTGTATTTTTGAGTTCTTTGCAATCTTCAGCTATGAGTGGCTTCAAAAATTATATAGAAAACTGGAGTTAAAAGAATCTCCGTACTTTTGGTAGCCCATTCTATTTTAGCATTTGTTTTGGAAAAGAATACATAGCGAGAACTTGGAACAACCTGTAATATTACTGTATATTCTTGTGTATAAGCCAAGTTTTTCAGCACTTTTATGCAGTTTTTGTGGTAAAATTAGGTACCTTGATTTTTGGGTTGGCTTATACTCGTGTATATACAGTACTTTCCCTTTTTTAATCCTTTTAAGAGTTTCTAAACTAGAAAGATCTAGGTAACTTGCACAGAGATCTCTGTACTTAGCAAGACAGGCCTTTCACACAAAGATGTGCTTATTCTGAACATGTGCAAAAGGCCTAATCGGTTGTAACAAATCGCCTGCTTGAAGGTAAGGGACACCCTGAACTGCTCCATCATCAGAGCACAAAGACTGACATGCAGAGCACACACAGTTTTTAATTCAACAGAACGTCACTACTCAGCAGAAAATGCCATAAGGTGATGCAGAAAATATTGTACAGGGAAGCCTTCAAATGCTTCCACAGGGTTGGAGATAGGTGACTAGCAACCCCATTTTGCCTGAAGATGTCACTGAACAAGTACTGCCTGCTTGCCTTGTGTCCTGTTGTTGTGCTCCAACAGCCTAAAACAAGGGACTCTGCCATTGAGTCAATTCTGAGACTCATTGCAACCCTATAGGACAGGGTAGGACTGCCCCTGTATGTTTCCAAGACTAACTCTTTATGGGAACAGACTGTCTTTCTCCTGTGGAATAGCTGGTGGTTTCAAACTGCTGACCTTATGGTCAGCAGTTCAATGAGTAACGTGCACACAGGGATTGAGTGGGATAGTGGCCGTGGCATGTGCTGCTTGCAATCGGAGAGACACATTAGAATTTGCAATGCAAAGAAATTTTAGGGCAAAAGCTCTGGTAAGGGAACTAAAACTTGATCATCCCCTGCTGCCAAATGCCAACATTTCATATAAAGGGCTGGTTTCAGGCAAATTCAGGGGACCCAGGCTAGCTGTGGGCGTCCTCCTAGGAGATCAGGCCTACTGACATAACGGACGTGTCAGTGGTTGGGCCTCTTTCTATTCCTGCCAATATTCAAGCCACTTTTTTCTCTTGTAACTAGAACCCCAATTGGGAGTTTTAAAAATAACTGGGTACTATGTATTTTTATTTCCAATGGAAGCTCTGAGCTTAGGGAGTATTTTTAAGTTTTTAAATGTCTAGGTCAGAGGTCCTCAAACTATGGCCCGCGGGCCACATGCGGCCCGTCGAGGACATTTATCCAGCCCGGCGGGTGTTTTTACCCCGTTTGTTTTTTTACTTCAAAATAAGATATGTGCAGTGCGCATAGGAATTTGTTCAGAATACAACGATTAAGTTATAGATGCAGTTATTTTTAGAGATGTTTTCTAATTACCAACTAATTTCTTCACAAATGTCATTTTGTGTATGAGAGGAATGAGTAAGTGTGTAACACTGATTCTGTATGAGTCATGGACTTGCTTAGTTTCCAGTAAGGTAGTCAGTCTCAAGAGAAAATAATGCCGAATTTTCTGGCTTAAGAACATTTCCTAGAAGAGCATTAACCACTGTATGTATACATTGTATGTAATATACCAATGTAACAATATGCTTTAATATGCACACAAATAACTAGTTTATTCTGTATATTGGATAATTACAGATCTTTAATAAGTTTTAACATGTTTCTAACCTTTAACTGCTTTTCAGACATTAGCAATGTGAAAAATTTGAATACCCTGAGAATTGTCATGTTTTTCGTGGTCTTTAGCTAAGTTCTTAGTTAATGATTAAGATTGGATTAAATGATGAAATGTATTTTGACTGATTTTTAGAATTCTTTTGGCAAAGGTTTTTAAAAAAGAGATTAACTCTTCATAGAATCAATGTTCCTTCCTTTTATTTGTTCTAGCTAAATGTCAAATTCAAAACAGAAATTGAGACAACCACAAGGAAAAAGGTTCCTTCTGATTGGGTATGTCACAAGCAGGGTCTCTTGTATACTTTGCTACCTACTTAGGTGACAGAAGTCCTTTATTTTTATCTTTCCTTTTTATTTTAGCCTAAACAAGTTTTCTCTCTTAGTCCAGTTATGGTCTATAGAAGATTGGGGCAGGGTGGTGGTGTGAGGCACATTTAAGCAAGTCCAGTTTAAATTGGGCACTTGACCATTATGTTGCAGATGAAATTGACCAAGACTACTTCAATGGGAAGGCATGAACAGATGTAAACTTTAGGACAATTACTAAGCTTAAAGAAATACCTTATAACATACTATTTTCTCAATCATACATGTTTATCTTAGTCCCTGTGCTAGAGGTTCCAGACATCCCTCTCAACAAACAACAGACATGTTAATGCTATAAAGCTGTTTTTTCCTGAGACCAATCATCCCTCAAATCACCCCCATCAGGTACTTATTTTAAAATTGTTTTTCTTTGCTCTTCAAGATATAAATAGAAAAATCTCACTGAATAGAAGCATTAAAAAAAAGTGGGGAGTGGTTTCCTTATATCTCCTACTCAGAACATGGCTCAGGCCAGGTCCACGCCTACTTTCTGTTGGGTATTGGATACAGCAATAGCCCAATGCCACATTCCTTCTTGATAAGGGCGTTTAAAGTCATTACTAGAATGAAACAAAATTAATCTTTTCAAAAAAGGTGATTATAATTTTTTTAACCTCTTTCACCTTTATCACTACAGTCTGATTTAGCTCCCAGAAAGGCCACGGGCTTAGCTGACATGCATGATACAATTCAGAGTTTCAGGTTCAACTTTATTACTTAATAGAAGTCCAATCTCTGGAACATTAAAATTGTTCCAAGGTTTAATTAAAAAACACAATTTACAAATATTTAATATCTTCTGAAAAGCATTCCCAAGTCAAGAGTGAAAAATATGTACATTATATATAACCTGTTTGCTTCAAATTCCATCAGGTATAGTCAGTAGCATCAGTCTTGTTTGATTCTTCAAAATCTGAAAGAAAATGACATAATGACCGCCCTTTCAGTCAACTCTCCCCGCCTTTTAATTAAAGAGGTAAGTAAACCGAAGGCTAGCAACCAAAAGATTAACTGCTCATCAAGCTATGATAAACCAGACGTGGTGTTATTTCAAACGTAGTAAACTAAGATGGAAAGATAATGAATAGTCATAGTTCATACATTAATGGCACACAAAAATATCGCACGTACCTTCTGTTAAATCTACAAAGCTGTTTTCTCTGATGGAGGAAGGAATAGAAATCCCCATCGCTTTCCGAACTCCATACATGCTTACAATATCTCTGGGAGTAACTTGCTGTGCAAGTTCTTTAAGATTATTGGTCACTTGTTCAGCTAAAATGAAATGTAAATGGTTTAGATACTAAAATTATTCAGAATTTAAAAGAATAGTAAATGTATAAAGGTAAAAACTGCACTATCCATATTTGTTTGTTTATAAGTCACTACCAAAAGGATTTTCCCTTTAAGCACCCCGACTCTCCTCGTACCCAAGGTATCACCTACCAAGATAGATTTCCCTATAAGAAGGACCCAAAAGACAGATCATGTTGGGAGGGGGTCTGGTGCTCAGACGTTCATTCTGGGCTTCCTGGAGCTCCCTCAGCAATTTGGTGGTCTCATCAAGTTTCCTCTGGAATATTTCCGCTTCTGTATGGTAAGAAAAAGCACACACTCATGCAAACAAAGACACATTTAAGTTTGAGCTCAATCACCGATAGGTCTCTCCTCAAAGGAGCTGAGCCAATTATGAGTCATAGTGATGTCATGTGACACAGAACTCAGCACCCCAGGCTAGGTTGTAACTTTGAAGAGAGCAGATCATCACGTTTTTCTTCTATAGAGACGTTGGGTGGGTTCGAACCTCTAACCTTTCAGTCAGCAGATGAGAATGCATCAGGGGTCCACTATAGGCATGCTTTACTATTTACCCACTAACCGGGACTTCTCTGTGGTGAAAGAATTCACTGATCTGCAACAATGACATGTGTCCTTAAGTCTTGAGTGCTTGTGTAGTGTATTCCCTTCAAACACCATGGGGTCAGTCTCACCTTCGGTGTCAAACACTTCAACTGGCATGCCAAAGTTTGTGACTGCTTTCAGTGCTGTGAGCCTGTCGTGGTTGCTGTAGTCCAAATGTTCTGCTGGCTCTATTTCTGTAACCTGTTTTTTAAAAACAAACAGAAAAATGTATTTGAACTTGCAAACCTATGACACTACTAACTAGAAATTTGTAAGATGGCTTGTGTTTATGGACAAAGTCATTCCACATATTTAATTTGGGGCCATGATTTAATGCTTACAAAATGATACCTACCCAGACTATCCTTTTAAAATGCCTTTTCAAATCCTAGCAAAAAGCGCCCTTCCACAAATCTATACTACTCTGTGATGTAACGATGCTGTATATAGTTTGCATCATTTCTTTTACATGGCAACCAATCCAAGAAAAAAAACAAACCAACCAGTATCTTCTTGTTGCCTGAATTATACAAGAGATTTTGGTGGTGATGCAATGTCTCATGTTTTCGAGACTAAGGTTTCTGTCCACACATTTATCGTATATACTCGTGTATAAGCCGAGTTTTTCCGCACATTTTAAATGAAGTTTTTGTGGTAAAATTAGGTGCCTCAGCTGATATTTGGGTCGGCTTATTCTTGAGTATATACGGTATATTATAGAAGAGCTTGGATAGCCTAAGCTGTTTTATTTTTGGAATCACAGAACTCAGTTTCTATAATCACAGCACTACTTTTTTTTTTTAGCAATAGATGGATTCAGATAACCGGAATACCTGATCTCTTATCTACATCGCAAATCCACTGCCTTCAAGTTGATTCCAACTCCTAGAGATCCTATAGGACAGAGCAGAATTGCCCCTTTGGTTTTCTGAAACTGTAAGCTTTATGGGAGAAGACAGCCGTATCCTTCTCCTGAGGAGTGGCTGGTGCTCACCCCACTGTGCCGCCTGGGCTCCTCCTAACCTATGGAAGTACGTGATCAGTATCTGTTTATGGTTTGCCATCGTGGCTGGGCTCTCAATCCTACTTTAGCTATTTTTTTCTTACCCAATTTCCTTTCCTATTTCAAGTTTTCACTTTTGCCCCCTTACTGAGAACATGACCTTGCTTATCATCTTTGTTTACTTCAATTTCTCTTTTCCTTAAGTTAACGTACTTAAGCCTGACCTTAAAATTTCTCTTAACCCCGTTTTCCTCCATTCTAACTAGGTTTTCATGACATTTCTGAACTTTTTCTCCTTGCTTTCAATTTCCTACCTAGACAATGACTAGTCTCTTCCAAAATTGTTCCTTTGAACGTTCCTGGTTTTTATGAGGTCCATATCCACAGCTTAGACCTTGAGATGTCCCTAAATAACACTCTACACACAGAGGTTTGCTCTTTCTCCTGTACTTCCCATATAAGCTAATGTTATGTAATCTGTCCCGTGAACCAGGTTCTGCCAACTTAAGCACTATTATGGTTTCAAATCCTCATTTCCTTCCTTTACACGGTCACGCTAGTCATTTTTTGCTTAGACAAATTCATAGCTTCTTTGGTCCTTTTCCCAGGCTCTCTCATTTTCCCATGTTAGCACAGCACACTATCTTAACTTCTTAGCACTGCAAGTAAGACCCATCCTTCGGTCCTCTTTTCCTCAGCCCTAACTTCTTGGGCTCTCCACACATACACCCTGCTGTTCTCCCACATGCTTGGCCCTCCCTGTTTAGTTAAGATCTATCCCTCCTCCAAGACCCAGCCCACGGAACATCTCTTTTATGGAAAACCCATGTACATTCCCCCGTGTCCAAGCTTGTCTGTCTCACTGGCTACTTCTGAGTTTCCTAGGTAGTCAATATTTTTCTTTTAAAATAAAGCTTTAACACCTAGGCCTTTTAGCTTAGTCTCTCCATTTATATTTATTGTAAAGGATAAGATATAGTCACCTCCATCTCTTTTGATATGTCAAGCGTCCTAGTTTGGCCTTCATCTTCAGGTGATGACTAGAAAGATAAAACGAACGCTTTATTAAAACATACAAAAATAAAATAGGAAAATATCATGTCATGGTAAGATAATAATATAGGGGAATGAAAATGAATTAGATGTAATTACTAGGATTTTGAAAGTACTTTGAGTCAGGGGAGGTATTTTACTGGTGATTTCAAGATTGAGATTCCTATGCCTGATCAAAAAGTTACACACACACACAAAACCCCACTTTTTGTGATTCACAGCAAAATTTGGTTTTCCATTCAACAATTCATACATTTTGTTTCATGACGTTGACAGCTGTCCCCACAACGACCCAGCACTCTTCCCACTCCCTCCCAGTGTTTCACCATCACTATTCATCCTTCTTCCTGGTCCCTTCCTGCTTGCAGAATTTTATCTAGGCAAATGAATCTAAATCTCTCAGATGTTATTTTCTCTTTAGGCCTGTATCTTGTTTGGCTGAAAGGTGAGTTCTGTTTCAGGAGTGCAGAGTGGCCAAAGGCCATAATCTCAGGACTCCACCAGCTACCATCGGACTAATACGCTTGGTCTATTTTATGATTTTGAGTTTTGTTCTACTTTTTTTCCCTCTCTATTCAGGATCACTTTTGTGATCGCTTTCAGAGTAGTTAGCAGTGGTAGCTGGGTACCCTCTAGTTCTGGTCTCAAGGTCAAGGAGGGTGGCAGTTTGCTGTGGTCCACTCATCTCTGTACTAATTGTTTCCATCTTCTATTTTCTTCACTCATCTTTGATGGTACTTCTAGGTTGCCTCCAAGGAGTAACAAAGAGCATGTGGGTGGGGCAGGCATACACAGCTAGGCATAGCCGTGATCCGGAAACAACCGGTCCACCTCCCTTTCGTGCACGGAAAGCTGTTAGCAGCCAGATGCCCAGTACCATGAAGAAGTCCCTTTCCTCACACCTGTGGGACATGTCAGTAGAGGACAGCAACTTATAGCCTGGACAGTTGAATGGTAACACACTTGCAATCGTCTGGTCTTGTATTCGGCCCGCAAAAGTTACACACATTTTTAAGAGTGTACCTAATAAATTATCTAAGTAAATGAAGTCTGTTTTCAATAACAAGTGCATTTATCTGATAAGAGCCTAGAACTGCTTTACATTAATGAAGCAATCTTCTTTGACAACAGATGACATTATAAAATATTCAAACATTAGAGAATGTGATCATTTCAAACAATTCCATTTTTCAAAGATAACAGACATGGACAAATGTATCATGGACATTAATCGATAATAATGTTGTTCTTTTAAAAAAAAATATGCTGTGATTTATTTAAAAAATTCCCAATTTTTAAAAAGTATAAACAATGTTACAATGACATCCTTATTCTCTGGGATAAATCCCAAAGAGAAAAACTGCTTAATGAAAGGCGAGAAACACATTAAATTTTGAAGCATACTGCCATAGTAACCCAATGAAAGATACTCAATGTATTTCTGAACTAATACAGGTTAATATACTTTAGGCCATGTAACCAAAGCAGTGCTTATGATAAAATCTCACTGTAGTTAACACTGAACCTCGTGTACTGACTTCAGCTTTGCTAACAGGTCACGAGCAGAGGGCATGGCTACTCTAGCCATCATTGAGAGTTATGACCTTAAGTCATTTTATTGGGGGCTCTAACAGCTCTCATAACATTCCATCCATCAATTGTATCAAACATATTTGTACATATGTTGCCATCATCATTTCTAAAATATTTTCTACTCGAGCCCTTGGTATATATGTAAGCTCACCCCCCTTGTGAATCCTTGATCAATTATATATTATTATTTCATATCTTACACTGTCCATTTCTCCCTTCACCCGCATTTCTGTTATTCATCCCCTTTGGTGGGGCGGGGCCGTATATATCCACTCTTGTGATGGGTCCCCCCTTTCCATGTCCCTACCCTCATTATATTGCTACTTCCACTACTGTTCTTGAGGGGTTTATCTTTCCTGACTATAAACTAACTGAACTAGAGATAGTTTATGTGCGCTAACAGAAGACAGTGAAAAATGGGGTTATTTGAAGCTTACTGGTGTATAATCACAGAAGATTCAGTATCGTTTTCACTACCTTAGTTTCAAACCAGTAACAGTTTTTCCCCTTTTGAGGGGGAACATAGCACTCTGACTTCTGAGTATTATAAAGGCCATTTTTGAATCCTCCTGTATTCTCAAGATGAGGAAATAATGACAATATTCTGGCCCTCAAAGATCTTAGGAACTGACTTACATTTGCTTCTGTTCATTGTCCTCCACTCAGACAGGGCTGTCTTTTCAGGGAATGGATGTCAGGTGTTACAGTGGTTAATACCATGGTTTCATAACAGTGAATGACTAATGTTTAAGAGTCAATAATAAATTACCCTGTTTCTTTCACAGGGTTCTTACCATCTCTAATTCTTGTAGGGTCCTAGAATATCCTCCTTTTGTTAAAGCATCCAGTAAACTGTCAGCCATAACATATGGATAATCATGACATGAGGCCAAAAACTCATGAACACTGAAAGAGAGAGAAGGCAGTCAGTTTCATAAAAATCTTCATGGGCTTAATCCTTCTACATAATCAAATATTTCTACTAGAGGCTTAGTTTATATACCATAATATACAATTTTCTGTCTAAGCAGGACACACTTCATATAATTCTCTCATGGTAACTGGTAAACTTACCATGAGAGAATTAAACAAAACTGAGTTCTTAGATCTTGTTCCCAAGACAACTCTTTGCAAAACCTTCCTTAATACCAACTTCAGCTCTTAAGGGTTAGGCTGAAATCTCTGGCGTCACCAGCCTTTCCTCTTTTGCACCGTACCTTCAATGCATGAAGAAATATTATAGGCGCTACTGATTTCTCAATATATCAAGTGCCTCTCTGATGGTCCACACAGCTGTCACTTCTCATCTAGATTATGATGGTGTTTCCCTAGGGTCCTCATCCCCCTAGCCTCTTCTTAAGCCAAGTGGCTCACTGTTGTGTTAAAAAATCCAGTTAGCTTCCCATATCATTTAGAATACAACCTTAACTTCTCTACCCTCATGTTACTTCTCTGACCACTTCCCCTTTGACTTGTTCTGCTCCTCACACAACCACCACCTTGCTGCGCTCTCACGCAGTGTTATTCAAAGTTGGGGGTATTGCAGTAATGTATCCTGGCGGATGTTGGGATGATCTAGGAGGCTACAAAAGCATTTAATTTCGGATTATCTTGGCTATAATACAAGTTTTTATTTACTAAGGGGGTACTCAGTAACTTTTTTCCTGAAGAGGAGGTGATAGGTCAACGGAGTTTCAGAACCCATGCTCTATATTGCCTGGCAGTCTGTGGCTTTTGCACTGCTTGTTTCCTAACTTCCTTGAGTTTTTGCTTGTGACAGCTTTTGCATCCATCTGGCTGGTCCAAGGATTAGAGCCTGGGAGATGTGGTCTACTTGATCTTTAAGTAGAAGGCTATGGAGAGCTTCACTCTTCCCTGCCTGCCTGGATCCCTTATCTGTCATAAGTTTGGGTTCTTGAGCCAACGGCCTACTATATTGCTTGCCAACTCGGGGAGTCTGTCGATCTCGGATTCATTTTATTCTGACAGCCAAAGGCCTGATATACTGACATCTACCGGCCTACAGTTTTCCTGCTTTGACTTCCTAATTCCTGGTTCAGGAAGAGCATCCAACTTAACATATGACCCACAGACTTGAACTGGACTAGATGTGCTCACCCCTACAACTGTGAGCCGTTTTTCCCGATATGAACTTCTCTCTTTACATACATAGATAAGCATCACTGGTTTTGCTTCTCTAGAGAACCCAGCCTAACACACTGCTTAACTTCTGAGGAAAATGTTCCCCAACTACCCTATTTAAAACCACACTCCTCTTCCAAACATGTATTACCATTTAACAGGACGTGTGGTCTTCCTTAGTGCTATTACCTTGTGGCACACCTCTACTATCTACAAGAATACCCAGCAGAGTGGGCATGCAGTGCCTATTTGTGGAACTCATGGATGAATGAATCTTCAACTAGACTCTTATCTCTTACCTAGGGATCCAGTTCTGGTTCTAATCTAATCAAACCACTACTCATATATTAGAGTGACTAAATTCTGTGTTCGTGACAATGACAGGGAAAGATTTAGTTAAATTCTCTCTCACATAATGAAAAGTTAGTAAAGCTACGTGTGGCAAGAAAGAATTATCCAAGCTGAATGCTCCATTGTCAGGCAGAAGAAAGGGAAAATCAGGCTACTGTTTTGTTGTGCAGTTTTCTAAATCAGAGCATGGGAAGGTGGAACAGGACTGCAAATCTATCAGTTAGTTTCTGATGAGTGAAATAGCCTTAATGTGGGTTGACCTAGGGATCAAATCACCAAGTCTTACATCTCATATCTCTGTGGGTTCCAAAGACTAATAAAATTTGGGAACACACTCTTTGGCTCAGATAAATATTATAGGTCAGATGACACGTCAACATTCTGAAGATGCTCTTGAACATTAGTTTTACATGAAGTATGTAATATCTTTACAACAATGTTTGTAAGAAGTAAAATACTGGAGATGCATTATCTTTAAAATATCAGATTCTCCAAAAGATAATGTTAACTAAGGATTATTTAATTTTAGGGAAAAATATTTTTTTAGGTTAAAAAAAAATAACACTTTCCATTATTTGGAAAACTTTGTAAGTCTATCCACAAATCACGTATGTACGTTATTTTAGGGGAAAGCATCATTCAGAATGGTTATTTAACTGGTTATTTACCTGAAATCATTTGGAAATTCAGAGTCTTCCCCATAGGCTGAGTAGATTAAATCAGAATCTTCTTTGCTGATATTTGCAAATGTAGAATCATAATGTGGTGCATACGAACTATAAGGTCCATAGTTCAAGTATAACACTGTTGATAAAAGGAAAACAAAAGCTGAGTGGCGGTACCGGGAGGGCGGAGGGAAAGTGAGGAACCGATGACAAGGGTCCACATGTGACCTCCTCCCTGGGAGCGGACAACAGAAAAGTGGGTGAAGGGAGGTGTCAGTGCAAGATATGACAAAATAATAACCTGTAAATTATCAAGGATTCATGAGGGAGGGGGGAACAGGGAGGAAGGGGAAAAATGCGGAGCTGATGCCAGGGGCTTGGGTGGAGAGCGGATGTTTTGAGAATGATGAGGGCAATGAAGGTACAAATGTGCTTTACACAACTGAAGTATGTATGAATTGTGATAAGAGCGGTATGAGCCCCTAATAAACGATGAAAAAAACAAAACAAAAGCTAACATTATTTTTCAACTTACATATCAATCTAGTCTGTTCTTGTTTTATTAAAGATCACAACCTTAGTTAGCAATGAATGGTAACTATCCTTTCTTTGCCTAGCTCCTTGAAAGATAGAAAAGAAAATATGAACTTTTCATTTGAAACCTTACCTGGAGTCACTTTGTTCCTTTTATCCTCTTTGAACCCCTGCAAAGTGTTCACTCCAGAATGAAGTCTTCCAGTGGTCATTCCCAGTTTTACAGGGCAGTAGCCTGGTTCTAAAGCAGAAAGTCAACTCGGGAGGGGCATGGGTAGTATCACCTTCACGGTGCTCTGCAGAGTGCTTTTACGCATAACGCTTCAAGTCACCCACGGCGACCCTGGAACCAGCTGACAACTGTTACTATGATCATTTCTATGATAAAAAAGCCCAAGCTTGGAATGGCAGGAATGTAAGCAAGGCCAAAACCTGAATCTTGTCATTATATACGCTAACGTTTTTAAAATCACGTCACTTAATATTTTTGTACAATGAGACTAGATTTCCATGGATAAATCTTCTCTTTTGGTGATAATTAACATTGATTCAAAATTTAAACTCAGTTGTGAACATTTTCTAAGCTTATTAAAATATGCATTCATGATGGTTTCTTTAAATCAAATTGGCTATAGATACTGAGATGTCATTAAAATAAATGTCTTTTAAATTTTTTTTAAAGCTAAGCTTTCTAATGTTAAGATGACTAAATCAGTAGAAAAAATACTAGGATTAAAAGTGACAATTCAAAATATAGTAAAGCTAAATTAAGGCTATCATTAGGGCATATCTTATGATGCCCTAGTAGAATAGTGGGTTATGCACTGGGCTAACCTCAAAGTTGTAGTTCAAACCCGTAAGTTGCTCTACAGGAAAAAGTTGAGGCTGTCTGCTCCTGTTAAAAATGTATAGCCTCAGAAACCCTACGGCATCAGTGGTGGTGGTGGTGGTGGGGTGGTCACTAAAACACGAGGAACTGTATGAAAGGGTCGCGGCATGAGGAAGGTTGAGAACCACTGCCCTAGGGAGTTCCATCGTACAGGGTCACCGCGAATCAGAATACACTTGATGGTGGTGTCTTTTGCCTTTTGTTTATTTGGAGGCACATTTTAAAGCAACAGGAGTAATTTCTAAAGATGTGATCTTTATAAGCCAGGAATGAATGCCTGTAATAATGCTTATTGGGAATATGTAACATAAGCAGAATTAAGGTGGGCACTTAAGAGGAATGAAAAGGATGCCATCAGGAAAAATATCTCCAGCAATAGTAAATAGAATGTTTCCCCTCAGAATAAAAGTCCTGTCTCCTTTTTCTAACATGCTTCCCTCTAGAATAGAACATATTGCCATAGCAATTAGTGGAATCAAATATCTGTTAGAAATCACGTAGTCAGGTTTCCTTTCTTTTTTACTAAGCAGTGTGGAACTCCATGAGGTCAGCAGATCAAACCCAGCAACTGCTTCATAAGAAAAAGATGAAGCTTTCTGCTCCCGTAAAGATTCAAACTCTCAGGAACTCAGAGACAATTCTACCCTGTCCTATAGGGTTGCTGTGACTTGTCATCAGCTCGATGGAGTTGGGAATGCATACCATTTTAATCACTACACTGACCTTTTAGGGGGGCCCAGCTCTAAGTGTGCGGAGTCAAGTCAGTTTGCCTACAGCAGCTGGAAACTCAAGCTGATGAGACTTGGTCTCATGTATTCTGGACATGTGTCAGGAGGGACCAAGGCCTGGTGAAGGACCTAGTATCTGGTAGAGGGCAGTAGACAAGAGCCTCAATAACATATACTGACACTGGTTGTAGCATAGGCTCAAAGAAAACAATGCTTATGGGGACAGTGCAGGGCCAGGCTACTTTTAATTAAATGGGTCTCTTTAAGTCTTACTCCCATTTTAATGGGCAGCCTTATAGCAGTGTTTTCTTTTTCTTTTTTTTTTTTAGGGTATCCCCCCACAACCCGGAATATTTTCATAGCTGCTTAAAAATGAGGAATCTAGAGTCTGTAGGTTGGAAGACTTGTTTTCCTCTAAGCAACCCCAAGTAGTTCTTGGTACATCTATCTTAGGGAAAACCCAAACCAATCCCATTGCCACTGTTGATTCTGACTTGTGGGAAGCAATGGTCACTATTCATACTTTGCTTGGTAGTAAAAGTTAGTTGGATATCTGTCTTGTTTCTCTCTTGCCCCACCCAACTTCTGTAAGCATAACTGAAGGCTTTAAGTCAAGTTTTGATTAGCTATACAGAACTTTGGTCAAATAGCTTAACTTCTTAGAGGTTTCCTCATCAATAAAGTGTGATAAAAGCGATCTTCTCCCTCAATCCAACCCACTGCCATCAAATCAATCCTGATGGGCAGCAACTATATAGGGTTTCCAAGGCAAACTCTTTATAAGATTAGCCAGTCTGATCTCCTGCCCACAGAACAGAGGGTGGCTTCGAACCAACCTAGAGGTTCACCACTTAGTCTTCTTACAGGGCTCCTGACATGACTAAAGAAGATACTGTATAAAAGTAAGTGCCTAGAACATATTTATTATTCAATAGCTACATTAGTGGGGTTCTTCCCCCCTCCCGCTAAAGTACTAAGTATGGGGAGAATGATGAGGCTTTCTACTTCCGTAAAGATTTAGTCTCGGAAACCCACAGGGTTATTTCTACCCTGACCATAGGGTTGCTATGAGTTGGCATCGACTCAATGGCATGGCGTGAGTCTGAGTGCTAAGGATAGTTTAAAACCTTCAAGTGATCTGATGCTTTCTGATAGCACAGACTCACTGCCATCACGTCAATACTGACTCACAGTGACTCTATAGGAAAGGGCAGAACTGCTGCTGCGAGCTTTTGATGCTGTACGTCTTTATGGGAGTAGACTGCCTCATCTTTCTCTTATCTAGCATACAGGGAGAATGTTATTCATTTTCTTCTTCTCATTGTGAGAGAGAGCAGCTTTCTCCAGGCGACCTAAATCCTCACTTCAGCTGCTTTGCATTTCCAATTCAAGATCATTCCTGTTTCAAGGTTTTCTCCTCAATGCGTCTCACTCCCACACCGGATTCTTTTTGGAAGCAATCAAAAGGAAACCTTGCAGGACAACCAAAATTGCTGTCCATCCCCACAACTGCTCTTTTCCATGATAGAGAAGTTCCTGTCTTCACGTGATTATCTTCCACTTGTGCGCTCTCTCTGTTTTGCACCCTAGCTCTACTTTCAACTCCCAACACTGTGTCTAGCCCATGGAAAAGGTAATATTGGAAACTTCCTGAGTGAAAAGATTTTGTCATAACTCACTATTATATTCTTTGTCTCTCTCACGATGACATTATAAAGAAATATTTTTAAAACATATTCTAACTTTTGCATTATCAGAAAGCATGATTTTCTTCTCAGATGAATCTTCTGGATAAAAATTGCCTAGTCTTACATGAAATTTCAAAATACTTTGTTAACTCCCTTAACACATTTACCAGGGTAAGGAAATATGGAGGCTCTAAAACAGTAAATTCAAACCTTTTTAACTTTCTATCAACCACCATGCATTATGTTAAGAGCAAACACTTCAATATTATTAAAGTATAAGGTGACAGGCATATCAATTTCATTCACTGAAATTTTAAATATCGGCTAAAATTATAGTCTGAGAGCTTTTAAACATCTCCAGAAACATCTGAACACAAAACGATGTCTACAAATTATTGCCTAAATCGCCTGACTTTGTTGATCACAGGTATAAAACATTTCAGGGCTTTTTATTTTAACGGTAACTAGATATACAGTTCCTATTCTGGGCTTTAGGGAAAGGCTAGCTGTTGGCATTATATCTGCCATCTGGTTAGGTTCTTGATTGATCACAGCTGGATTTAGCGGTCTCCCTCTGTGAGTGTACCTCCGACAATAGGATCCACAGGATGAAGAAGTCCCAATGTCGTTGTCCCATCTGGCTTTCTTCTTTCAAATTCACACTGCAATTACCCAAAGTGATCAAATGGACTAACTGGTTTGCTAGACACTACATATATCTGTAGCACGCTAGAAAGTTTTACTTTAATAAAACCAGTAAGACATCATAATAAGCTCAAACATTGATTTTTCATGCATACAAGTTCTGATGATAGGCAAAAAAGAAAAAAAAACCCAAAAAACTTCAGAATTTTAAGAGCTCCACAAAACCATAAAGCAATTCTGCACATTCTAGCAAGAAAGGTAGGTAAACTTGCAGACCTAGAAAAAGAAGTGACTTGCCCAAAGTCAAATATTTAACCATCGCTTTTAGAACATTATGCAAACAATGTGGTTCCACAACCCAGAGTACATATATTTTAAGTTTGGAATAAATCCATTTTCCAATTTACAACATAATACCTTTACCAAAAAATAAAAAAAAGCCAATAATAAAAGGCGGCTTCAAATTTTTGTGGAAAAAATGTAATTAAAAGATAATGATACTGTTGTAAAAACGTTTTGGAACTCCCCAGTAGAGGTGAGATTAATCATGTATTTTACAAATAGAGGCATCGGTCTGTCTTCCTTGAGTAAACCGATGAAGAACATCATGATAGAGATGGATTAAAAAAACAACAAATGGGTAAATGTGCACAAACAGATGAAAAACTAAGAGTTGTACATTGACTTAAACAAACAGCCAAATAAAAATTGACAGAGGAGAAGGTGAGCACTTATTCATAGGAAAGTAAAGGATGAATAATCACTCACCTGACTATTAACATGCCGCCTGGTCAGTTTTCCTCCAGACTCCCTGATGAGCCGGTCAATCTGCTCTTGTTCTCTTTCTAAACTACTGCTTTTATATTTATCTTCAAAGATATCTCTGTCTTTCCTGAAAAGAAACATGAATACCAAATACTGAAAGCAAAATATCGGAATGCCCAAATGAAATTTCAAGTATGAAAACAGCTAAAAGTAGAGGCCCCTGTTCTATTGTCATCCACTAAAACGGTTTCTACCTGAACTGGAAAGAGCTTCTGATAATGTAAAAACAGAAAGACACCATAATACATTACTTTTCCCTCGTTTTGCCCACTGCCTTAAGATTTTTCTGGGAACATTCATAAAAAACGAATTCTTCCTTAACATGAGGGGGTGGGCACATATATATTTTTTAATTGATAAATCTTACAGAGGAAACTTGCTGTCACGCAGAGATTATGTATGTTTTGTTACTTTGCAAAAGTACATTATTACATCAGAAATCTCAAACTGCTAACAATCCCTTTCTCCAAAATTGATGGCACTGTGCTCAGGTATGTGTGTGTTGGTGGAGTGAACACAGGGCCAGCCCATCTATTCAGAAAGTAGCTTGAACTGTGCTTGTATTTATCTATTTCAACTCCATTTACAGGATGAGGTAAAGAACTAAGGACTTTTATTTAAATATTCTTATTTTAACAAACTCACTAATAATGAGTCCTTAGTTTATTGATCTTAAAACAAATTAAATTAAGAATCTATAATCAGAACTGTTTTCTAAACGATATGAACAATTACAGTGCTTTGACATGAGACACAGCATTTATGAACATGGATTTCCATGATGGCTATCTTGTGCCAACACCACCACTGAGAGATTAAGATGTGGTCTTCCCCCGTGAAGCCCGCGTCAGTAATTATCTCCCTTTATTAGCCTGAAAAAGAGAGTTTGCCCAGAATACATCCAAGAGTTTTACTTTTTATTTTCCTTGTTGGGGCTTTTGATGGCCTGTGGCTCTGCAGCTCCAGAGAGTCCCTTCTCCCTTGGCCAGCAGCTGCTGTCCTCTCCACTCTGGGAGGTGTCTGTGTGATCTTTCAGCTTTCGAGTTTTCTGCAAGTCTGCCATGAATTCTATGCTCTGCTTCAGGCTCTGAATTCTTTCCTAAGAATATTCAGGAGTATTCTTATTCTGTTTGTCATTAACTTTTCAAATAAGGCAGTTTCCCCTAAGCATTTACATTTATTCTGGCATTAATGAAGGAAAACAAATATAATCAAGAGTATCACATTTAGAAACCAAGACAATAATATCTATTCCTTTAATTCTGATAATTTCCAGTTTAAGAGAATGTTTTATAACTATCAGATAATCAGAGTTAATAGAAAAGAAAGTATAAATTAGGACTAAGCACTCTTTGAAGCACTGAATTTAAAAAGTAAGATTTATTTAACACATTAAAAATTTTAGATTTAAACAAGATGGATTACCTTTGAAATTTAAGAATTATTGTGTATATTAATGTGAACACGTGAAATGTCCATATAGTCTGGTAACCTAAGGCTTTGCCATTTTTCTCTTCTATTTTGTGAAACATGTACTCAATTTTCCACTGAAATTCTCATTGTTTTTAGACCATTGGTTCTCAACCTTCCTAATGCCGCGACCCTTTAATACAGTTCCTCATGCTGTACTGACCCCAACCATAAAATTATTTTTGTTGCTACTTCATAACTGTAATTTTGCTACTGTTATGAATCATAATGTAAATATCTGATAGGCAGAATATATTTCCATTATTAAAAATTGAACATAATTAAAGCATAGTGATTAATCACAAGACGATATGTAATTATATATTGTGAAATATTTATGTGTTTTCCGATGGTCTTAGGTGACCCCCTGTGAAAGGGTCGTTTGACCCCTAAAGGGGTTGTGACCCACAGGTTGAGAACCACTGGTTTAGACCTTGAGGTTTTTAGGACCAATATTAAAGGGGCAGATTTGCTCCTACTAACTACTTAGCAGTTAATGGAGAATTCTCAATGTGTAAAATATAGAGTGTACCGCAGCCTCCTTAGGACTGCAAAGAGCAGAGAATAAAGACTTTTGCATAATTAAAGGAATCTGGAACCAGGAAGTACTGGTCACTCAAAGACAAATAGTGTAGCCCTGAAATGCTACATGCTCACCCAGGGACAGAGAAGCAGAAGCTGGGACCACGAGCCCAGCCTCTCGTGGCAGGGCCTATTCTCATCACACTAGGCGACAATAGCACAGCTCTTAAACTGTGAGAGCCTGAAGAAAGGCTGGAACTGCGATTTTAGTTTAAAGTAATGTTAAAATTGTCAATGTAATATATTTTAATTAGAAAAAAGAAAAGATTGTTAAGAAAAACAAAACATTGTTAACTTACCATTGAGAAAACAAGCGTTAACTGGTTTAACACTCAAGCATTTTTGAAAGCAGTAAACATATTAGCAAATGTAAATTATACTGAATACTACTTAGTAACAAGCATCTTTCTTCCATATCATTACTCTTCAAAGCCCTTTTGATCACAACTTAGCATTTCACCCCACATCATGTACCATTATTTATTAACATCCTACTGTTTGGGCACTCGATTATACACTGGTTTCAACTATTATCAATCCCATGGACTTTTTACAACTCCGTAGAGTTTCTTATTAGCTCTTTAGGATAGATCTCTAATGTCGAAAACACTACTTTAAAGTGAATTATTTTTTAAGGATTTTGATACTTACCGCCAAATTGCCTTTTAGAAACCCCCGCAAAAAGAAAAAAAACAACAACCCACAAAAAAGCCCACACTGTTAAAGGATCAATTTTGCATCAATCCTACATAGGATCTGCAAGACTATAAATCATTATGAAAATAGATCACCTCACCTTTCTCCCACAGGGCAGCTGGTGGGTTTGAACCACCAACCTTGTTATGGGGTTAGCAACCTAATGCCTAGCCCACAGTGCCATTAGGGCTTCTTGCCTCCCAGCAAGCAGTTTATATTAATGTTTGCAAATTTCTCTGAAATCTGACCAAGTGGAGTATTTAAGAAGTTTCCCATTTAATTTTTAAAAACATTAAGAATATTAATGCATTAGATATGTCTATAAATGTTTAATGGCCATTTGTCCATTCCATGTATGTCACCCGAACTAGGCCTCAGTCATCCCCGTATGCCAAGCACTACAGTGTGTTGGCACACTGTTGTTGTGTGCCATCAAGTCAATTCTGACTCACAGCAAGCAACTCGACAGGACAAGGTAGAACTACCCCATAGGGTACCCCAGGCTACAATCTTTACTGGAGCAGATGTGCAGGTCTTTTCTCTAGCAAAGCCACTGGTAGGCTCGAACCAGTCAAATACATTATGAGCTCTTTGGCACATAGTAGGTGCTCACTAAATGTTGGTTAAATGAATAGGTCTTGATCACAGGGTTTAAGTACCCATCCTAAAATTTGTAAAGCACAAACCAGACTACGAACATTTTAACGCAGTATGCATAGAATTAAAATAATTCAATTATAGAAATTCTCTTAAATTTAGAAACAAGGGGAAAAATTGAGTTCAATTAATTTTACTTTCAGTGAAATGCTTTCTTCTTTTTTGGGTCATTAATACTTGCTCATATCAGCATACTGTTTACTGATCATCACTTTTACAATAACAATAGAGTAAAAGCACTTGGTTCTTTGCCATTAATACTACTAATTGAGTGCTTACCTCCACTAGCTTAGTCCTAGTTTTATAGGGCAGGAAAAAGGCTAATGAAAGTTATACAGTGTCCTTTGTGTAGTACTAGAATATACTCGAGTATAAGCCGACCCAAATATCAGCCGAGGCACCTAATTTTACCACAGAAACTGCAGTAAAAATGTGCTGAAAAACTCATCTAATACATGAGCATATATGGTAGCCTGGTTCTGTCTGAAGACATTATGCTATATAAAGTATTATTTATTAAATGCAGTATTCTACTCAAGTACTTATTTACAGAGATCAAAAGAGTTAACATATGCATGTCCATTGTTTATAAAGGTTAAAATTTCTAGCTGGTAGTTGTTGTAGAGTTGGTTCAAACGCATAGCGACCCTGTGTAGAACAGAGTGAATCACCACCCAGTCCTGTGCCATCCTCACAAGTGTTCTATTTGCGCCCATTGATCTCATCGAGGGCCTTCCTCTTTCACTGCCCTCGACTTTACCAAGCGTGATGTCCTTCTCCAGGGACTCGTCTCTCCGAAGTATGTTAGATAAAATCTCAACATTCTTGAATCCTTGTACAGATTTGTTTGTTCATTTAGTAGTCCATTATACTCCCAATATTCTTTAGCAATACCATGTTTCAAATGCCATCAATTTTCTTTGAAAATTTTTTTTATTGGGGGCTTGTGCAATTCTTAACACCATCCATCCATCCATCCATCCATCCATCGTGTCAGGCACATATGTACATTCGCTGCCCTCATCATCAAAACATTTGCCTTCTACTCTAGCCCCTAATATCAGCTGCCCATTTCCCCCCTCCCTCCTCACTACCCCCTCCCTCATGAACCCTCCATAACTTATAAATTATTATTTTGTTATATCTTACACAGTCCGACGTCTCCCTTCACCCACTTTTCTGTTGTCCATCCTTCAGGGAGGAGGCCTCTTTCCAACCCACCCTCCCTCTACCCTCCCAGTATCGCCCCTCACACCACTGGTCCTGAAGGAGTCATCTGTCCTGGATTCCCTGTGTTTCCAGTTGCCATCTGTACCAGTGTACATCCTCTGGTTTAGCCAGATTTATAAGGTAGAATTGAGATCATGATAGTGGGGTGGGAAGGAAGCATTCAAGAACTAGAGGAAAGTTATATATTTCATCATTGCTACCCTGCACCCTGATTGGTTCATCCCCTCCCCACAACCCTTCAGTAAGAGGGTGTTCAGTTGTTTACCGATGGGCTTTGAGTCTCCACCCTGCACTCACCCACCTTCACAATGATATGATTTTTTGTTCTTTGATGCTTGATACCTGATCCCTTCAACAGCTCATGGTCACACAGGCTGGTGTGCTTCTTCCATGTGGGCTTTGTTGCTTCTGAGCTAGTTGGCCGCTTTTTTATCTTCAATCCTTTAAGACCCCAGACGCTATATCTTTTGATAGCTGGGCACCATCAGCTTTCTTCACCACAATTGCTGTTTGTCTTCAGTGATCATATCAGGAAGGTGGGCACCCACTGATCTGATTTTTAGTTCTTTGATGTCTGATAATTGGTCCCTTCTACACCTCGTGGTCAGACAGGCTGGTTAGCTTTTTCCATGTGGGCTTTAATGCTTCTCAGCTAGATGGCCGTTTGTTTATCTTCAAGCCTTTAAGACCCCAGATGCTATATCTTTTGATAGCTGGGCACCATTAGCTCTCTTCACCACATTTGCTTATGCACGTTTGTCTTCAGTGATTGTGTCAGTAAAGCAGACACCCACTGATATGATTTTCAGTTCTTTGATGCCTGATAACTGATCCCTTCTACACCTTGTGGTCAGACAGGCTGGTGTGTTTCTTCCATGTGGGCTTTGATGTTTCTCAGCTAGATGGCTGATTGTCTTCAAGTCTTTAAGACCCCAGACACTATATCTTTTGGTAGCTGGGCACCATCAGCTTTCTTCACATTTACTTATGTTCACCTTTTTCTTCAGCAATCAGGTCGGGAAGGGCCATCAATTTTTTGACAGTCATCCTTATTCAATGTCCAACTTTCACATGAATACAAGGGACTTGAAAATATGGCTTGGGTCAGATGTTCCTTAGTCCTCAAAGTAACCTGCCTGCTACCAACACTTTAAAGAGGTCTTATGCAGCAGATTTGTTACATGCAATGATCTCTTGACTGCTGCTTCTATGGACAATGTGGATCGAAGCAAGATGAAATCCTTGACAATTTCAACCTTTTCTACATTTGTGATGATGTTACCTATTGGTCCAGTTGTGAGGATTTTGGCTTACTTTACACTGTGTTGTAATCCATACTGAAGGCTGCAATCTTTGCACTTCATCAGCAAGTGATTCATGTCTTCCTCCCTTTCAGCAAGTAAGGTTGTGTTATATGCATACCACAGCTTGTTAATAAGTCGTCAGTCTTCTTTATAATCCAGT